ATTGGTAAAAAGGGGCGAAAATTATGAATCATTTTCTTCTATTTCGAAAATCCATTTTCATCAAAGTACATGCCACTTTACAACACCCTGTCTCGCCATTTATATAATACAAAATTTGAATTGGCTTGGCAAGATCCAAGTTTCATGATTCAATATTTGGATAATAGTTACAAAGGGGCGGAAATAATAAATCTTTTCCGTTTATTACAGAAAACCCATTTTCGTTAAAGTAGATGCCACCTTACAGCACCCTATCATGCATTTATATCATGCAAATTTGAATTAGCTTGAGCTACTTGCAAGATCGAAATTTCATGCGTCCAAATTTGGACATTGGTTAAAAAGGGGAGGAAATTACGAATCATTTCCTTCTATTACGGAAAAACAATTTTCGTCAAAATTCATGCCAGCACTTTACAACATCTTGTTGCGCATTTAATCACACAAAGTTGAATTGACTTGAGCTAATGGTAAGATCGAAATTTCAAACGTCCAAATTTGAATATTGGTTAAGAAGGGTCGGAAATTATGAACCATTTCTTCGTATTATGGAAAAGGAAAACCAATTTTCGTTAAAGTTCATGCTAGCACGTTACAACACCCTGTCACACATTTAATTACATAAATTTGAATTGGCTTGGCAAGATCGAAATTTCATGCTTCAAAATTTGGATAATAGTTAAAAATGGGCGGAAATTATAAATCTTTTCCTTCTATTACGGAAAACCCATTTTCGTCAAAGTACATGCCAGCACCTTTCAAGACCCTATCGCACATTTATATCACAGAAACTTGAATTAGTTTGAACCACTATAAAGATCGAAATTTCATTTTATTTCATTTAATTAAAAGCAAATTATTAATTGTTTCTATCTATTACAAAGAGTACCGATCTATTGTAAATTATTACTTTATTTGAAGCGGTTTCGCTACTTTTTTAACCACAGATAAAGGCAGTTCACGATACCTTTATCTTTTTTCTGAAGCGAACCTTCAAAAAAGAAGGAGTAGATATCTAATTAACAGCAATAGCAGTTTTGATAATTAGTACACGCGCGAATTGGCTACGTATTTTAACACACACGGCAGTGCCTCTGTTTTTAAGGGTTTGTGGTTTACGAGATGGAGAAAATAAAACAAGTCGAACTAGAGAGCCCAGAGACAGAAAAAGCGATTCTCAAAAGGCCTGGTGAGTTGTTTCTATTATGATATTAATCGGTCGTATTGATGAATTTATTGTGGATTGACAAGCCCAAATGAGCAGGGGCGGCCTTAACCACTGCGAGACTCCGGGCGGATAGACCTTTTCCCAGCTCGCTACCCCCAAAGGCCGCCCCTGCAAATGAGCGACCTAATTAGGGACCAAATCTCAATAGGGGGTAGCGCCATGAAAATTAAAATTGTAAAGATGTTTTTACATGCCTTTATATTGATATTTTTTATGTTTGATATAAACAACACGTCGCACTCGTACATGAAGAAAAGAACGAATTTTAAGCGAAAAAATTACCAGCAAGAATTTTATTTTAAAAAATAATGTTATATTTTTTCTGTTTTCAATCATTTGATCAGTTTACCATTCTCTTGTTAATTCGTTTTGCTTTTTTTCCTACAAACATAAGGGATTATCCTATGTTAATTACACACGTTTTTCTCTTCCATCTAAGATACTGTACTATCTTTGACAAACGTAAGCTGTCATGCATTTATATC